TCTCGCAAAAAAAAAGATGGTGGTTAATTTGCATATGCAGGCATGGAGCGAAGACTAAAGACAGCATAGAAGGAAGCCAAGCACTGCAGAAGGGAGCGAAGCGGCAAAGAAGGGTGGGAACCGAGGCAGTGGAGACAGGAGGGGAGCCGAGACAGTGGACATGGGAAGTGTCCCGAGGCAGCGGACACGGGAGCAGAGCTGAGGCAGCAGAGACAGGAGGGAGCGAGGCATTAGAGAAGGGCGGGCTTTGCTCCCTTCTCGGCTTCGCTCTGGCCTCAGGTAGCCTTATTCTTGCAGGAATCGGCCTGAGGAAGCCCTATTCTTGCAGGAATCTTCCTGTAACTGCCTCTAATGCAGGGGTGGGCAAACTTTTTGACTCGAGGGCCACAATGGGTTCTTAAACTGGACCGGAGGGCCGGAACAAAAGCATGGATGGAGTGTTTGTGTGAACTAATATAAATTCAAAGTAAACATCATTACATAAAAGGGTACGGTCTTTTTTTTTTTTTAGTTTTATTCATTTCAAACGGGCCGGATCCGGCCCGCGGGCCGTAGTTTGCCCACGGCTGCTCTAGCGTGTGTGTGTATAAATTCCCGTATCCCCCTCCCCAAGTTAATGCCACCCTTATAAAAGTTAGGGGTTTGGATTTCATCTTTTACATTCTGTTATAATTTATATTTTTATATAATAACTAATAGGGGGAAATCTAAGGAAAAATGTCATCATGAAACTAATCAAATGGAATTGGCTTTTTAATATAATGTAAGCCTGATAAACACTCTAATGAAGAAAAAAGTTTCTCCTTGAATCTCTTAAGATCCCTAGCTGGGTCTGAAAATTAAACTGACCAAAGAGATTAACAGGAGAAAAGCATACAAATTTATTTTATATAAGTTTACATGACATGGGAGCCTTCATAAGGAAAGGAAGACCTAAAGAAATAGACGTCTGTACTTTTAGGCTAGGTTTGATGGAGAGTAGACAGTTGTGGATGGATTGAGGGAAAGGAGGCAATTATAGTAAACTGGTCGAGATACCATGGCCCCTTTGTCTTCGTTAGGATTCTTTTTGGGATCCCTTTGTGTTTTCCTCTGCGTATAAGGAAGGTACCTCTCACATGAGGGTTCATAGCCTGTTTCAGGGAAGAAGGGAGGTTCAAGTGACCTTCTGCTGTTTTCTCAAACCTCTTCTGCTTCAAATATTGAATATGCTAAGGTGTAGCGTGTCCTGAACTTCATAAACACCTCAGTGACCATGGTGTATGGAAATGAAAGAAAATAATTGTGACTTACCGGTAGTAGGTTCATCTGTCAATTTTATTAATATAAAAATACTATAGATCAGAATTTCTGTGGCATATATTTTCATCAAGACATATCCCCCTGACACACACAGTTATCAAACTAGTGAAAATAGAGCCCATCTGAGAATCATATGTGATTTATTACCAACTTTTTCTTTATTTTTTATTAGGTTGTCAACTCTAGGATAATAATAAAATTTTATAGATCTTAATTCTTTTATATTTTAAGTTTTTCAACACTTAAAGAGGAAAGACTTTGATACTTTGTAGGGACTAACAGGTTTCGAAAAAGTATATTATCTCATCTTAATTTAAAAATGTATATTTATATATTTGAATTAGAAAATGTTTGTTTCTGTACCAAGAATGTTAACAGTAGGCATCTGTTTCTGGCTTTTGAAATTTGGAGTGCTTTCAATTTTTTTAATAGATAATTTATATTTTAAAATTCTTCTGTAGTGAATACCTGTCATTAATAAGGGAATTTTTTTTCCTTATAGGTGTGAAAAACCCCTGACTCGACTGCATGTCACTTACGAAGGTACCATAGAAGGAAATGGTCAAGGCATGCTACAGGTGGGTGAATCCCAGGAGCATGCTTGTGTTTGGGACTTTTGTCAAGCTTTTGACAGCAAAAAGCGTTTGAAAGCTGTTTATTTATCTTCTAATTTAATGCAAAGAAGCACGGTAGCAGAATGGAGAAAAACACCAAACAGATCATCTTGACAGCTGTGGTAATATTGTTACTTGCCAGCATACGTTCTCTGTTTCTTACATGAACCTCTTTTTTAAAAAGCCTTTGACAGTAAATCCCAAGATCTGGACAACATCAGACCTCTTGGTTCAGACATAGATTGTGGATTGACAGTGGATGAAGTTCCCAGGGTATGGTCTTGACAAGCTGTCACAGGATGGTTTTGTTCTTTTTCTTTAAAGGCTCTTGCTCTGCCCTAAATGATGACCAGCTTGAGATGTTTTTCTGCCACCAACCTTGTTTAGGTTTAGGAGACAGACGTCTAAAACTGATTGATAAGAAAGCCCTTTCTCCCATATGTAATCATTATAGGCACGTGAACCAACTATGCTTGCTGACTTTTCTCTGTTGTAGATCTGCTGTCTTTTCCCAGTTGTAGAGCAGGTAATTTTGTCCATCTCTCAATCTTTGTTATTACTTTGTGTTACTGCCTTTATTTAAAATAATATTTTTGGGAAAAGGTGTCAACAAGTAAAACACCCTGTGTATCTAGCTTTAAATTGATATAACCTAACCCAGGGGACCTCAAACTACGGCCCGTGGGCCACATGCAAATACAAATATTGTATTTGTTCCCGTTTTGTTTTTTTACTTCAAAATAAGATATGTGCAGTGTGCATAGGAATTTGTTCATAGTTTTTCTTAAACTATAGTCTGGCCCTCCAATGGTCTGAGGGACAGTGAACTGGCCCCCTGTTTAAAAAGTTTGAGGACCCCTGACCTAACCTGAATACCTGTTTTCCTTTGCTTTAAAGTGATTTTTACTTACAATCACTAATAAGAGAAAATGTTAGTGACTTTTGTTCTTATCCCATTTATAAGAGCATTGTAATATCCATTTTCTCTGAAAGAATCTTGTATATCATCTCATAGTGGGAATGGCTGATTTTTCTTCTTCAGTCCTTATTTGTTGCATTTACAGAGTGTGGGAAAAGTAGGTTTGCAGTTGTTTGCATGGAAAATAATACAATAATCCTATATAATAAAGAGGTAATATGTAAATTGACCATCATAAGATGGCTGGCAGGGGAGGGCAGTTAGGGGCGACCAGGCCAGCTGGGGAGGGTAGTTGGGGGCAACCAGGCCGGCAGGGGAGGGCAGTTGGGGGAGAACAGGCCTGCAGGGGAGGACAGTTAGGGGCGACCAGGCTGGCAGGGGAGGTCAGTTGGGAACGACCAGGCCGCAGGGGAGGGCAGTTAAGGGGGACCAGGCCGTCAGGGGAGGGCAGTTGAGGGCGACCAGGTCGGCAGGGGAGGGCAATTGGGGGCGACCGGGTCGGCAGGGGAGGGCAGTTAGGGGCAATCAGGCAGGCAGGCAGGTGAGCGGTTGGGAGCCAGCAGTCCTGGATTGTGAGAGGGATGTCTGACTGCCAGTTTAGGCCCGATCCCTATGGGCCTAAACTGGCAGTTGGACATCCCCTGAGGGGTCCCAGATTGTAGAGGGTGCAGGCCAGGCTGAGGAACCCTCCACACTCCCCGCACGAATTTCGTGCACCAGGCCATTAGTCTATATATATAAGAGCCTAAACGACCGGTCACCATGGTGCGCACTGACCACCAGGGGGCAGATGCTCAACGCAGGAGCTGCCCCCCGATGGTCAGTGCGCTCCCACAGCCAACCTCCCACGATTCCCCCCTTACCCCTTGCCAGCCAACCTCCCGCGGTCCCCCCCCTTACCCCTTGCCAGCCAACCTCCCATGGTCCCTCCCCCCAGCTGGCTGGCCCCAATAGGGACTGGGTGAGATGGCCCCAATCGGCCCCGATCGCTGGCCAGGCCAAGGACCACCCGTGCCCTAATTCGTTCACTGGGCCTCTAGTTTGAGATAAAAATGCTTAGGATAACTGAATTAATATTTGTCCTATACTTAAAATTTGTTTTAAATTTGTATTTAATCAGTACCTTTCTTTCTATTTAAAACAATAATTATAAAATATGGTTAAAATTTGTTTCAAATGAATATCACTTTTTCCCACATTTTTATCTTGATGACATTCTTTCCTACATTAAAGTCTTATATTAACTGAGGGAGTCTTAATACACACAAAAAT